TTAAAAGCAATCTAATTTATCATTAAAACCACTAGCTTTTATGTTTAAGTCTACCAACAGAATTAATTTAATTTTCAAATACTATTAATTTAGTTATATTTACTAAAATATTGTTAATCATTCAATAGAATACTTACGCAATAAATCAGTGTATAGATTTTCACTTTATATTCAGTGAATTTTTGCTTTTTTAGAGGGATATCAAACCTATTATTGAGGAGATTATGTTTAGAACCAAAATTGATTATCTTGAACTGTCTAAATTTTGGTAAATTCAACTCATTTTATTATGTAAATTTTATTGGCTTAACAATTAGGGTATAAACTCATTTAATAAGATTCTCTTTTTATTTGAAATAATCTATTTTGATCAATTTACTTATTAGTCTTCTTTTTATTTTTGGGGCTTAGCATCAAAGAATAAAAGAATATTCAAGTATTCCCCTATCTTAGCTCAAATATATAATTATGCAGCAAACTGTTACCATTGTAAATTTATCTAGATTTAATCATTTTGATTCAACTAATCCGAATGTTATTTCAGGAAATACATTATGATATGGCAAAGATATCAGTAGATCAAAAAAGTCAGATGCCTTGTTAGAATCAGTTTTAAATATTGCCCTTATTTATTTCAGATTCTTGAGTGCTAATTTTATTCTAGAGTATGGTAAAACTTGTACTGCTATATTTTCTAAAATTAATGGTAGGTTCATGGAGGCTGAAAAATTAAACATGAACAGATTTAAATTATTTGCAGGAATCAAAGCCATATAGATAATGCTAATTTAATATATTTAATCGGTTTAACAACAGGAATAACAAAAACATCGAGAGAAATCTGCTTCTGTATTTGCTGCCAAAATCACTAAATAATACCTCAAGTTCTGCTTCCAATGTTAGCCATTCTGTTAGGCATACCTCTATTTCATCAAATAGCGCCACTAAGGCTCAAAGTGTTTCTTTAATACTCTGTTAAATACTACAATAATTTTGCCGTAGGTCTTGATTTATTAAGTAACTACTTTAAATCTCACAATGATCAGGTTACTTTTATTTATTTTAAATAATTAATTAAGAAAAGCAAGATTTTAAACATTAGAAATAATTTAAATGACCATAATTTAAAAACATTCATACTGGTGTCTGTTGAAAATTCAGGAATTACTGACCGAATAAACTTGGTTTATCCTTGCAACTGAAAACTGGATTTATAAGTTATAGCAAATATCTACTATTACTAGTGTCTAGTAGCAACTATGACTAACTTAAAAATGACCTAAACTCATGGCACTTGAGAAATTAGATTAATCCTTATTACTTCAGGAGCTATGCAGGTATTTCTGAAAAGGAGATAAATTTGCAAGAGGGTAATCTATGAAATTTACAGTCAATTTTTAATTTTTTGCAAAGATACTTGTGACGCAATATTTTATAAGAGCACAAGAAGTTTGAAAGACTTTCTTCTCTTAACTCTAAATGATTACCATCGATAGCAGTCATTATCAAGGCTAGAAGTTTTCAGCTAATATCAATTAATGAACGACATAACAATATATCAAACTAATAGGTATCTTATAAAGGCTTTTCAATCTATTTTCGAAAAAATTCATCAGAGAAAGAAACCAATTTGGAAGTTAAGAAAAAGCCTATAATCTGCTTAATGTCTCGAATCCTAATAAATAAATAGAATTTAGGAAAACGGAGAAGGAATCCTCAGAAAACAGGTTCAAACAATATATGAATTGATCTGAATAGTTTTAATGAAGTAAGTTCTAAGTGATTTGTAAGTTACAAATCAGAATGCCATAAAGTTCTGAATTTCTATGGTTAATTTTCTTAAACTAGGAATCATATTTAATTCCAGCTTGCTTATCAAATACTACCTCATCAGTAATTCACTATAATGATATAAATTCAATTGAATTTTAAATATCAATCCTTCTTAAGCAATTACTTTATATTAGCTTATATCAAATCTTCCAAATTACTTAATAAGCCTTTATATGTATGTCTTTCTAGAACTTTTAGCATTAAGCTCTTTTTAAATTAGGTACTTAATTAAAAAACCTTTGAACTGTTGTCTTATTAAAGATATTAATCTAATAATTATATTATTTTTATATATTTGTTGTGTTTATCTTTATTTTTGATTTAAATTGTATTTAATCTAATATACAATATTATGTCATCAATAATAAAACTTGAGCACTCTCATAGTATATCAATCTTAAAGAAATCCTGAAGAATTTAATTAAGTTTTCTAGCAAATAAGAGAGAGAAGACTTGGCAATTTAAAAATATGACAAATGTTATTAAACTGTTTAGTTTCAAATTGTGCTGGTTAAATACCTAATGTTGATCTCATTATAACTTTCAAGAAGACCAAAAAGAATATCTGTAATAGCTTTCATAAATTCTGCGATCAAATTTGCTGGCTTATTAAAATTAACATAACTAAAGTCTAAGTATAAGAAACCCTAAACTCTAAAATTGCAACTTTAATAATGTTGAATAAAGAATTAGTTTAGCTATTGAAGGTTTTTCATACGCTTACTCTTTTTAGATTAATAGGATAAGGATAAAAATATGATTTTAAAAATTTCGGTGTTTTGGTAACTTAATTTTGGAAAAATTAAATATGAAAAAAGAGTAAAGTTTATTTTCATCAATAAAACATGGCTTAATTTAATTTTATATTACTTTTTTTTATGTTTATTTAAAATTTTTAACCATCATGTCTTTTTTCTAAACTAATATCAAATTTATATAAAACAATATTTACGCTTTTAATTTTATCTTATTATTATAAAAATAGCAAGGCTATCTAAGGAGTTTACTTTCACTTCCATATATATTGATATCATAACCAGAACAAATGATTGATATTATTGATTTTTTCTGATGAACTGTACTTTTATACAAAATTTAATAAATCCTGATGAATGTAGAAAGTAAACCGTCTTTGGATTCATCAGTTATAAACATGGAACTGAGTTATCAAGATTAAAATAATATAATTTAATTAAATTATTGTTTATTTTTATATCATTGAGCTAAATAATTGTGGCATTATTCTAATTTATTGGATTAAGGTAACTAATAATTCTTCAATATGCAAGGTATTACGCTTAATCTAATTTGCATATTCTAATAAGGAATAAGCTGCTTCATATTAAGCTAAAGTAAATATAATGAGTGATTAAACTATATTTTAATAAGCAGTATGCTAAAATTAAAAAATATTATACTTTTCCCATATAAAGATTCTAAATGTTACTCATTTATAGTTAATGCTTTATCATATTATATAATGGCCTTTTCATATTAATTCATGCCTTCTAATTAATAATGTTAATTATCAATCATTTATAAGCAATCGCCGATTATTAATTAATTTAATTTACCTTTCCTAAACAAAGATTCTACATGTTAAGCCTTGATACTCAACGCTTAATCAAAATAATCAATTGCTTGTAATTAATCACCTATAGTACATATCCTAAAATAAATTTTATCTAATTTATAAGTACAATCCTAACATTAAAAACAGTTATAACCTTGTGCATAATAACCTAAGTAGCTCTTTGATTAAAGACTTAATGATTTCTTTATATGACTTTATGCTTAATCATACATTTTTAAGTTTAATAGCATTATAAATTCAGATGTTAATTATAAATATAAGAACCTAAATTTAAGGAATATTTAGAATTTTAAACTAAAATAAATCAAATAATGTAGATTTTTTGATTGATGATTGTATTTATTTGGAATTTATGGATGGAACATTACATTTATCAATTATCTATATAGATTTGCTTTTATCGAAAATGAAAATAAAGAGAAAAAATTTATAGTTAATAGGAATTACCTCTTAAAATTAGCAGAGTATTATAAATATATATTTAAATATTTAGTGTCTATAATGAAAGATCAAAGGAATACTTTAAATAAGAGAATTGTGATGCATATGCTAATATAACTGCAGATGAATATAATGAAAAATAAATTATAGATATGGAATAGGAAATTCTATAATTTTTAGATAATTACTTTTTCTTAAATTCTTATTCTTTCATAATAACTATAATTTAATTTACAGAAATCCAATTTAATTTTAAAAAATAATAAATTCAAAATTTAAATTTTCAACATAATTATTATCTTACTTTTTCTGTGACTTCTTTATTATGGGATATGAATAACTTATTATTGAAAGATAATTATATGCTATCTGTTGTTTATTCTTAGCTTTAAATACGAAAAATGAATAAATTAATTCATTTAAGTAATTCTAATATAGTGAATAAGATATCATTGAAACTTTTGATAGATTTTATAATGTTTCGTAATTTATTAAATTATAATTATAAATAAATTCATCAGAACCTTATATATAGAGACATAGGCATTTAAATCTAAGAGACATATAATTAAATATTCCAAACTCAGAATTTATTACATAATTTTGAGGATGATAATTCTTTTATATAACTCTATATATATAATTTTGTTGCTCATATTTCCTACTTCAAAAACACTTCCTTCCGTATTTATCTTAGAATGATTAATTAGAACTATTTACAAGTATTACGAGTTGTCCATCTTGTTGAAAGCGCTGAAATCTTCATTCAATTTAATTTTCTTAAAAGTATGTGATTCTTCTTATTAAATACTGCCATAATGTTCAAAGCTATCATCTTTGATGGAAGAGATGTAACCACATATATAAGAATCGGAATGAAGATTCGGTGTATTTCGAGGCATACTCTGATTCTTCTAATTCATGAGCCATAGAATGGATAAGATTGATGACTTTGTTCTTCCTAAACTTTTGTTTGTGATTTATAGGTTGTGCTATATTTATTTTATATTTTACTTAAAGATAATCCTCAATATATTACTTATAAAAGTGGCAATAGATTTTAGTTCCCCTTTGGTAAAAGCTTTAATTTAAATTTTTAAATTTTACTAAATTCTTGTTCTTCTTTGACTTTCTTATCAAACTGAAATATATAATTAATACTATTTGCCAAATGCTCTGAACTTAAGAATTAAACTTACTCACTATACATATGAGAATAATCTATAGCTATCTTCATCTCAGTAGATTTCTTACAATAAGGTTTCATCACAAATACATTTTTATTTTAACATAAAATTTAATTACTCTTAGTAAGTAGTTTATTATTCCATTCTCTTTTCTTTTTAATTTAATTAATGATTATAATCAATAAAAACATAAGGATTCATTCTTTATTAAAAACATTAGGATGTTTTTCATTTCTTTCAACTTATCTCTTTTAATTTTTGATAAATACTGCCTCTCGTATATCTAATTAAATTTTTCTCGCTCTTTTAAATTAATCAAATTCAATAATATTTTTTCCTTAATTCAATAAAGATTTTGAATATTATAATATATAATCTACTTTTTATTTCAATATCTCACAGTTAAAAAAAAAGTAAATTTGGATATTTTATTTTTATTTTTTCATTTTTGATATAAATATACAAGAAGAAACTTTGTATTTTTGTGGAACATGATAATTATTCTATTTTACATAAGATTATGATTGTATTGATATTTTTGATCTACTTTTTTATTCAATCAAATAAATCAAATATTAACAAATGTAATTATTTATTAAATTTTATAAAAAAAGTGGATTATTAAAAACACAAAAGACTATAAAAAATAAAGACTTTATTGGGAAACTTAGAAATATTCTAGAAGTATATTGATTGGTAATTAAGAATAATTAATTTTTAATTCAATTTTTAAAAGAAAAAAAATGGGTTTAAAATTATGGATCTGTAAAAATTTAAATCAATTATATTAATCAAATATTTTTCACATAATAATTACTCAAGTTTTAGAAGGTTTGCTTTTTCTTATTAATTTAGACAATTAAAAATATATGGATTTTAATCATATAAATCTAATAAAAAAGAAATAATGTATATTAATGAATCATTCAATTTCGAAACTGATAAAAAAGTCAAAAAATATTACAGTTTCAAAATTTTATTTTCTTTCAGATTTCAATATAGTAAATAAGAATAATTTTGTAGTATTCATTTAATGTGTCTCTTAAATTTATCATATATGAGTTTTAATATTGTAAAGAGACACTTAAATTGAAAGAAGAAAAAGGTGTTTTAAAAAACTCTTTAATTAAATTTCTGTATTATGAATTATTTTAATTGCAATTATTTAATTATTAGATATAAATAAAACTAAGTAAAATATTGTTTAATTTTAATAATATAAATTAAAAACTATATTTTGATGAATAATTATAAAAATCAATAATCTATCTATTATATCGAAAAATAGAATTATAATCTGAAAATAATGAATACAAACAATAGTGGAATGAGCTATTATAAATTTAATAAAATTAAAAACAAATGATGGAATAAATAAATACTATAATATCAACTTAAGAATAGATGAGGAAAAAATGAAATCATAGTTAATTGTAAAATTAGTATAAAACATTAGGATTATGTATAAAAAAGTGTTTAAATCAGAATAGAGAGATAAATTCCTATTTCTTGCATTGACTTTGGAGACTATAGTTTTTAAATTTAAGAAAAATAATTTTTAATTTAAAACTCTATAACAATTGAATATTGAAATTTTAGTATAATATTATTTTTATATTAGAATAATATATGGTGATTTAATAGAAGAAGAAAACTCATTTTCTTTATTTAATTAATTAAAACACTAATTAATGAGAAATACAAAAATACTTTTATAGCCAATCAATTATTTATTTTAATAAATAATTTACGAATTAAAATTCTATAGATTAATCATTTATGGAATAAGATTTAGAAGATAAATTAAGTTTAAGTAATAGTAATTATTTTGATCTATGATAAAAAATAATTTCATATTTATATTTTGTATACTTTATTTGAAAATGAAACAAATATTTACAAAAAGTTCTTATATAATTAAGATCAGAGATGTATATTTTAACACTGAATCTATCAATAAGTGAATCAACTTTTTATGTTTTATTTCTAAATAAATAGTTTATTCTTCTTCAACTTTTTTAGTACTTGTTATAAGTCTAATTTCTTTTGTTGTATAATTTGATTTAGATTATTTCCATTAGATTAAGTTAATATCTAGGTGGAAAATATTAAAGTTGTCGTGATATGAGTATCTTTTTCAGAATGTAGTTTTCATCACAAAAGAAACATATAGTGATTTAACAGGTTTTTCATGAGATTAACACTTTGAATTATTCATTTAATTAATGAATAAATACGAAGTATTAGGAGTAGTTGGAGAGGGTGCTTATGGAGTGGTTCTTAAATGTAAAAACAAGGAGACAAATGAGATAGGTATAAATGAAGTTTAGATGTTTTTAGTGGCGATAAAGAAGTTCAAAGAAACTGAAGAGAATGAGATAGTGAAAAAGAGCATATAAAGAGAAGTGAAGGTACTTAGATTGTTAAGACATGCTAATATAGTGGAATTAAAGGAAGCATTCAAAAGGTAGTATGATGTGGGAAGTTAATTAGAAAAGGGAGAATATATTTAGTATTTGAGTATGTGGAGCGCAATTTACTTGAAGTTCTTGAGGCATCTCCTTCAGGATTGGAAGTATTAAACATAATTATAATGATAGCCATTGTATATCAAAAGAATAATTTTTCAGTTGCTTAAAGCAATATTTTGTTGTCATCAAAATGATATTGTTCATAGAGATATAAAACCAGAAAANTAACAATTGAATATTGAAATTTTAGTATAATATTATTTTTATATTAGAATAATATATGGTGATTTAATAGAAGAAGAAAACTCATTTTCTTTATTTAATTAATTAAAACACTAATTAATGAGAAATACAAAAATACTTTTATAGCCAATCAATTATTTATTTTAATAAATAATTTACGAATTAAAATTCTATAGATTAATCATTTATGGAATAAGATTTAGAAGATAAATTAAGTTTAAGTAATAGTAATTATTTTGATCTATGATAAAAAATAATTTCATATTTATATTTTGTATACTTTATTTGAAAATGAAACAAATATTTACAAAAAGTTCTTATATAATTAAGATCAGAGATGTATATTTTAACACTGAATCTATCAATAAGTGAATCAACTTTTTATGTTTTATTTCTAAATAAATAGTTTATTCTTCTTCAACTTTTTTAGTACTTGTTATAAGTCTAATTTCTTTTGTTGTATAATTTGATTTAGATTATTTCCATTAGATTAAGTTAATATCTAGGTGGAAAATATTAAAGTTGTCGTGATATGAGTATCTTTTTCAGAATGTAGTTTTCATCACAAAAGAAACATATAGTGATTTAACAGGTTTTTCATGAGATTAACACTTTGAATTATTCATTTAATTAATGAATAAATACGAAATTTTGGAGTAGTTAGAGAAGGTGCTTATGGAGTGTTTCTTAAATATAAAAATAAGAAGACGAATGAAATAGGTATGATAATGATGTTTATTGGTATAGCGGCAATAAAGAAGTTTAAGGAAACTGAAGAGAATGAGATTGTAAAAAAGAGTATATAAAGAAAAGTGAAAATACTTGGATTGTTAAGACATACTAACATAGTAGAATTGAAGGAAGCGGTAGTATAATGTGGGAAGTTCATGAGAAAAGGGAGGATCTACTTAGTATTTGAGTATGTAGAAAGCAATTTACTTGAAGTTCTAGGGACATCTTCTTCTGGACTAGAAGTATTAAGTATTAAGTATGATAATCCTAATAGCCATTACACATTAAAAGAATAATTTTCAGTTGATAAAAGCAATATATTGTAGTCATTAAAAAGATATTGTTCATAGAGATATTAAACCAGAAAATTTACTGATAAGTAATAACCATTAATTGAAGTCATGCGATTTTAGTTTTGCAAGAGTATGTAAATAAATTTATATTAAAATTAGTCATCACCCTAAGATCTTACTGATTATGTGGCTACAAGATGGTATAGAGCTCAAGAACTCTTGCTAATTTATTCAAATTATGATTAAGGAGTTGATATGTGGTATAAATATAGAATTAAGGATTTAAATGTACAAATATAAGCCATAAAAATAATTTAGGGCAATAGGATGTTTATTATGTGAATTGATTGATGGAAATCCTTTGACTCCAGGTGAAAATGAAATGAATTAGTTATATCTAATTTAGCAAATATTGGATCCATTTGACATAGGGTTAATAGGAAATATTTTCAAAGAATCCTTGATTTTTGGGAATGAAATTTCCTGAAATATCTAAGCCAGAAACATTGGCATAAAGGTAAATATTGTAAAGTGATAAAATTAGATATCTTTGTAAATTATTAAAAAACTATAAATTTTGTAAAAGGATTATTAAAGATGGACCCAGGAACGTTTGACTTGCAAATAATTCATTAATATTTTGAAGATTTGACGGAAGCGATAGAATTCATGAGAGAATTAGAATCATAAAATGATTAAGAGAAGAGATAAGTTAGTGCAGGTGTTCATAGAGCTGAAGCATCCCCTAATACATAATAAATGTTATAAGAAGTAAAGTATAAATGTTGATTATAAAATGTATAGACTAGTTTCAAAGTATTGTATATAAATTTATTATAATTAAATTCGATAAAATTATTAACAAAAAATAGATATGATAAAAAATGAAAACAATAAACCTAATTATCTAGGAAATTAATTAAATATGTAAAATATTGCGTATAATTATAATATTTAAGAATAATAATAACAAGAACAAGAGAAAGATGGAAAAAAAATTAAAAAGGAAGTTAAAAAATAATCTTAAATTCTTAGTAGTCAATAGAGAGATAGGTTCCTGGATTCAAAGAACAGAATTTATAACAAAGAAATGATTGAGAATTTATACATATTTCATGAATATCATAATTTAGGGGACTCCAACTGCAATAATGTTCAAGGAGTAAATTATCAGAATGCATCTTAATTTAGGCAAATCCCATGTCACCCAAATAAGTACCCCAAGAATTTCTGACTAACCAACCATCTTCTAATCCCCAACTAACAACTGATAAAAAATGATTAATAATATTTTTCTTTGTTTTTATGAAAATATATATTCGCCTTCGTAATGATCTAATTCTTAAGTAGCAAATATCCCACAAACAATAAGACCTCTTTTTAAGATTTCAATTTTCACATCTCTGGCAGTTTTAACATATACAAATTCTGATACATAACATCTCTTAGGACTATTTACAGACTCACATCCATCTTAATTATATTAATGACATTAATCTTCATCAGAACATCTGAATCTTTTATCATTTATAGCTTCTTAAGTATGACAATGTTCTTAAGTGAAACCATTCGATAAGCACGTTTAAATGTAGGTTAAGCTAATCCACCTCCGCAAATACCTACTGACATTCAATTTATAATTGGTTAAACAGATAAAATAACAAGAGGATACTTATTTTCTAATTTAATATTAATTCTGTCAAATGTTGTTGAATTAACAGCATGTGACAACATGAACTAAAATAAATTAGAATATGTTGATTCCTATAATTTGTTAAATAAATAATTCCATTAAAATTTCTCCAATCAAATTAAATTAGTACGTCTGCGTTTAATTTTGATATTGGATTTATGATAAATTAATCCTATTATAAAAAATGTAATATATTTATATTATAAGATGTAAATTTTTTAATTTATCTTTTTTCAATACTTCTATTTAAAGTAGTTCTATTTCTAATTCCTTCAGTTAAAGAATCCTACATTACACTATAACTACATTCTTATATGTCATCTATTGCAATATCATATAAATTGGATACTTTCGACCCAAATTGTTTTTCACAATCCAAAATTTGGATTAACCACTTATTTTCCATCCAACCACTTCTACATAATGATAGTCATGTTCAACTTAACAAGATACTTATCCATGTAGAGTTCCATTCCATCAAAACAGTTCCTATAACGAGCTATTTAATTGCATTCTTCTTATGGGCAACATAATTTGTGCATGTCTCATCAGAAATCCAAATGTCTTTAATATATTGATATACATTATTATTTAAAAATATATGATAATTGATCTTATTTATTTTTGCTTGTATGCATTTAATGAAGAACCAAAATAAAACCATTTGATTGTATATCACATGATATTAAGACTAAAGGTGATAATACTATCTCAGAAAATGCCACATTACTTTTAATCTTTATTCTATCACTTAATGCACCTGTAACTGCAAATGACCAACTAGCATTGCAAAATTAAGGAGAATTCTCATTTCTTTTGTATGTCAAGAAATTCTTTCCATCCATTTTTACCCAACTAAAATTATCAGATATTTTGAATACATTACAAAATGCGATTACCAATAAGAAGTGTTTGATCATTTTTTATTATTTATTTTTAAAAACTATAATATTTTTAACAATTTATATACTATATAATCAGGCGTTTTATCAGTTCCAGTTAAGAATTTTTGTTTATCAGCATAAATTCTGACTGTTTCTTCTTTTATAATCTTTTCAATCTCTTCTAAACTTTCTTAAAATTTTTTTTCAGTATAAAATAACGATCCCATGCTTTCTAAATCATTTTCAATTATCTTTTTATCTTCTTATTATTCAACAGTTTCCAAATTGTATCAAATTTATTTTAAATTTTTATCTAGTAATTTTTATTTTTTCGCTGTTAATACTTTCTTTATTTCTACTAATCTTTATATTCCATTATGTTCATCCATCATTCATTAATATCATTCTAATTCTTCTCTAAAATTTTCATTAGGTTTGCAATCTCTCATAAAATCATTATTTTTCTATAACAAGACATCTAATTCTTGATTAGCAAAATAACTTAATTTCTTTTCTAAATCATTTATTTCTAAGATAATTATACTTTTTACTTTCTCCAAAATTAAAATAATTCTCTTTAACAGTATTTTAAATTCCTTATAATTTTACTAAAGTTGTGGCAGATTATAGATTATTTTTTAGAGTTTAATATTCTTAAATATAATCTTTCATATCCAACAGTCCTCCTTCTTATAACAAGTTAATTTATTCTGTTTGATCATCAATTCTTTCTACTAATTATTTTGCATATCTTTCATACCTAAACATATTATTTTAGATCACCTTTTTTATGAATTGTAATTTTATTTTTTATATCTTGTTTCTGAGGTCCTATCTAAGCATGCTTGTTATTCTTTGAGTTTTCTGATTATTTGATAAATTCTTTATCACTTTCATTAGCTTATTCATTTTAGAAGTTTAGACAACTTGTTATGTAATCAAACAATTTTTGCTATGTTTATCTTAATAATGTTGACAAATCTTCGATTGTTATTATAGTATCTTTTTCAAAAACTGCCTGATTTAATATATTAATTGGAGGAGGAACTGTAGGTTTGGCCTTTGGATCTTTTGGAGCATTTTACTATTATTATTTTCTAAATTTTTAAGTTATTATATATTATTTAAAAGAAAATACAAAAAATTTAAATATACACCATAGTATAAGTATTATTCATATCATCAGCTTCTAACTTTTCTTTAGCCACTATTTATTCCATTTCATCAGATGGAATATACATTCGTTCTGCTATTTCAATAGTAAATCTATATTGCATAAATTATTGATCAAGAGGACTATTAGATTTACTCATTTCTTAACGATTAATAATTATTTCATTCTCTTCTAATTTTTATTGAAACCAAGTATATATTTTCTTAATAATACTTTTTTGTATCCTTTGGCTTTGTAGCAGGAAGTTTTTCCTCCTTTTTTATTTTTGGCTTCTTCAATTAACTTTTCTTCCTCTATCTTCTTATTATATTATTATTTTGTTATTTAAATTTGATTTTAGTTTCAGCTACCCTTCTATATTTCTCTTACAAAAATTGTTCCTTTTAAGGATCTACTAATTCAAACACTATTAACAAATTGTGAGAAAATTGCTTTTTGATACTTAACATATGTTGTCATATCAAAATTAGGATCTTTTGTTTCTACAGAAGAAACTATTCTTTTTCTTAAATAAGATTGTTTCTTTAAAATGATATTCAATAATATAAATATTTAGTTATTTAATTTATAATTTAACTTGAATTATTTTCAATATCAGTAAAATTCTCTTTACATTTAATACAAAAGTTTTTTGTTGAACCTGAAAAATTTTTGAGGATCAAAAAACATCTTGAGATCTAAAAAACAAAACTCACTAACCTATAATATTTTAGAACCAATAATATAAACAATCTCCATCTGTGCATAACTTTGATTTTGCCATGAATTAAAAATTTTATATTTACTGTAGAATTATATTATGTAAACATAAATTTGAAAAAGAATTTGTATGTTAACTAACTTTTAGAATTTTAGAAGATGGCTGAATTTGAGAATTATTTAATACAGGTTGATTAGCTAAATTTGCTAATTTTTGTTAATTTTGTTATCCAAATCATCCTTAGTAAGTAAGTAGCTATTATGGGTTTGGTTGATATCTATAAGATAACTAATAAGTTGAACTTTAAATAATTGGAGCGCCTTCTCAAGTGTGAGAAGCTTGGTAAAGAATTGGAGGTTGAGCTTAAGTCGAGGTTATAGTTAAAGGAACAGAAGCTGAAATAATGTGCAATGATTATCTTAATCTTGGACTCTGTGTGTAATTAACTTGAAAAGTGAAATTAACAGTATGAGTAAAAGGATGTTGAACATATTTTGTTGTTATTAGTTATTAGTAAGTAGAATAATAGACTTATGATAAATTCTAAATTACTTATTATGATACAACTGGTTAAGAAACTTAAATAACGATTGGTTGTTGAACAGTCTATACATTTAGAAGGTTTGCTTAATAAGTTTGAGTTGTTACGATAGGTTAAACTTATGTTATTTAAACTTCTTAAACAGTATTATAATGCTGTTAAATTAAATAATTAATTGATAAAATGTTTTATCTTGTCACTGCCTAATACACTAAATCACCTATCAAATATATTCTGTTTCGTATTAGATAGTTTAATAATCAGTAATTTATCTTGTGATTGGTATATAAATTTATCTCAAAAGAATAAATTATCAGACATTAATATTGGTTATTGGAAGATAAATGCAGTAAATTAGAGGATTTGCAAATTAAACATAGTAGATGAGAAGTTGTCAGAGCTTTTTACTTAGAGTTAGCATGATGTTAAATAACTTAAGAATTGCTTAGCAAAAGTTGATACTTAGATGAATGAAGATTAAAAACTTAAATATTAATAAGCAAATAATCATTTAGAAATGATCAAATCAGAATTCATCAAATTGCAATAAGAGTTACATCATTCTTAATAATAATCCATTTAAGACACCCAGAGATATCCATAATAATTAACAAATTAATTATATCTAATAATGAGCTCTAAAGAGAAAATTAATAGTTAAATTAAATTAATAAAAGCCTATAATAACAAATTGATACCTTAAACATTCGATACTCTGATCTAGAAATTAATATAATTTAAGAATTGCTAATATTGATAGTCCTTAAAAATGCAGAAATAGATACCTTGAGAGTGTTATTTTATATTATAAATATTTATTTAGGCTAATAATAAATTCTCATTTGCAAATAATATTTAAAAATATTTGATCATTAATTCTTATATAAAATGAAAAATAATTATTATTAATTTTATAATATAATAAATTATCATTAGTAATTATATTTAACATTATTTACATTATTATTTTATAAAATAAGTATAGGTGTGAAATGCATTATATTGATATTATAACATTTCCAGTTGCCATTATAACACTATATATAATCTTCAAAAAGATGAAGCTTACAAATGGATATAAAGAGCTGTGGGTTAGAAGTTATAAAATTTTGTTTGAGAATTGAGCTTGCGTTAATAGAAACAAGCTTTTGATAAAGTATAGTTAGCAAGTCATCCCCAAAACTCTTAATTCTTTAGCCCTAGTCATATTAGTATCTTTTGATCTCAAATTCCAAAGAAATGTATTTTTTAGGGAATTTCTGAAATTCGTAACATCATGCCCCTAGATAAGGATTTTATACTCAGTGGATTTTATTATTTAAAATATCATAAAAATGGCAGGGTTAGTATAGAAAAGTAGATTTTTACTGCGTGGAGGTGGAAGCGTAGTTTCATAAAGAAGTCCATAAAAATAAATACCGAAAACAACTAAACAAGAAAAAGATTATGATCTGTATGAAATATTTACTTCTGCCATCGATGCATCTATGTTTAAAGAAATACTCTGGGTGCTGAAAAAAGAGAAAATCACAGACATAATAGGATTTCTCTCACAGTAAAACAAGTCTGATGATAAGAAAAAGGTTTTATCAAGAATAACTGATTTATTAATAAATATTTAAGAGTGTTCGTTTAGCAAGATTAACTATTCGAATGAATCATAAGATAAGGTGATCGAAGATCTAATGAAAAAGATAAACTGGAACTAAAAAACCATAGATTTACTAAAATTTTTAGTGCATCTCAGTAGTTTTGATGATAAATTTGTATTTTGTGGATCCAATTCTTTTTATTTATTGGTGTAAATGAAGGTAGATGTCAGTAATTAGAGTTGGGAAGACATAAGAATAAAAAATACTTCTTTAATTGGTGCAACTTTTATAAGATGCAACTTTAATGGATCATAATTTGACAATGTGGATGTAAGTGGTGTAAATTTTAATGGAGCTTAACTATTCAATTGTAAATGGAAGAATATAAAATTAAATGAGTTGAATAAGTTGGAAGGTCATATTGATTTTATAACGTCAGTGTGTTTCTCTCCTGATGGAAATACTTTAGCATCTGGGAGTTATGATGATTCTATACGTTTATGGGATGTTAAGACAGGATAATAAAAAAATAAATTAGATGGTCAT